CTCTCATGAAGGATGGAACCTGAACGTTACCATGGCTGAGGGTCTGGTCTGTAGCTCTACAAGTGCAGAACATTGGCTTTCTCTTTTTAAGGCTTGACTGATAATAACCATCTTTTGGAGATTTAGAGAAAAACCAGAATGCTAATTTCTTTTTTTTTTCTTCCCCAGAATGCTAATTCCTTAAGTTACAGTGGGTGTTATACTCTTCTACTGCACAACAGGCTCAGGATTGAGATATAAGACACTCCTCAAAATGGCAGAGGCACCGGAGAAACTGTAAGATTGTCTACTGAACAGAGCGTAGAACACTTGAGATTTGGATGACATTAAAAGATGTGTTCATCTGACCAAAAAAAAAAAAAAAACAAAACAACTGAGGAATTTCATCTTTGCTTGCTTTACAATACAGCATATCTGTACCTTTGATAGGATATTTTCATCATACAGAATTGATGTGCTAGAGAAGGAAAGGAAATGTGCTAGAGAAACCTAGAAAAATTATTGTGCTTTGGATGCTGTTTTTAGAGTCCCTGCGGCTCACCAAATAGTCTTCATTTGGATAGGTTACAATCCAATTGACTTGATTTAGTTCACCTATACTGTAAATAAAATCTTCTCTGGGGTTAAGGAGTAGTTACCTAGACCGAGATTTGGCTGGCATAGTTCATTCTGTATAATCTCTCAACACACCCCCGTCTTGTTTATTAAATTCCTTGTATGTGCTAGATGCTGGAAATACAGGAGTGATGAAAAACAGATGAAGGCCTTGTTCCACTGAGCTTACATTGTATTGCGAAAGATAGGCAGTAAGCAAACAATAAAGCAGGGAGAGTGACAGAGGAGTCTGAGGTGGTTCTTAATTTTAAATATACTAGTGGCCGCTTTAAAACTGTAAGCTGAAAAATATGCAAAAATGATAGAGGATTTTGGTTGCTTTAAGTAATAAATGTGTTCATCTTAGTAATAAAAGTAATGTATGTAAATGAAAAAAATCCAAACATCAAAAAAAAGTATAAAATGAAAAGTGAGTCTTCCCTATTCCTCCATTTTAATTGTTTAAGTGATAATTACTTTTAATTCTATTTTGTAGATTGATTCAGAAAACACATATATGTATCTATATCTTCTTCTTTAAAAAGAGAAAAAACTAATGATGGTATCATACTACTACTGTTCACTAACTATCTTTTGCCTGTAAAAAAAAATTCAGATGTTTTCCCATCAGCATGTGTGAAGCTAACCTTATTCTTTTTTTTTAATCATTTTTTTAAAGGTTTTAATTATTTATTCATGAGAGACAGAATGAGAGAGAGGCAGAGGGAGAAGCAGGCTCCCCACGGAGCAGGGAGCCCGATGGGGGATTCGATCCCAGGACCCTGGGATCACGACCTGAGCTGAAGGCAAACGCTTAACTGACTGAGCCACCCAGGCGCCCTAACCTTATTCTTTTTAAATATCTACAAAATATGTCCTATATGGAAATATTTTCTTTTATCAGTTACCAGTTGATGACTATTTATTTGAATGCCTTTTCAGTTTACCATGCTCTTTAAATTTGATGATTCTAAATTGTCCCATAGGTGTGAAGGTGACTGAAAGTGTTGACCACTTCCTACTTTCCTTTTGTGCCCTTTTAGAAACACTACCTTAAAGAACAGACAAAATAATTTTACTCTAACCCCAGAATTTTCTGTTGTATTTAACATTAGTGCCCTTAGTTTTTAATGCACAATTTATAGGTTATTGTGTAAAATTTTGAAAGAAGCCTATGTAGAACAGTCTTCAAAATGAAGACACTTTTAAATCTTTAATATACTTGAAACTTTTCTAGAAGAGTATACACTTTAAGTATGTCATTAATATAGATACTTTGGGGAATCTATGAATGAACACCAGATCTCAAAAATATTACTAAATAAATTGTAAATATTATATTATTTGGTACTAGTGTATATGAGATTAGTAGTTTGTGATTTCACAAGATTTGTTTCTTTTGATTACAGATTCTTGAAACTATGCCTATGACTGAGAAAGTTGAAGAGTTGTTACATGTCATAGGTCCATTTTATGAAATTGTAGAAGACAAAAAGAGTGGCAGAACTTCTGATTTAACCTCAGGTTGGACTGTCTTCCCTTGTTTTTAATCCAGCAACTGATATATTATGCATGCATTAATATTTATATGTCTAATTTTTTTTTACTTTCACATGCCAGTCCGACTGGAGAAAATCTCTAAATACTTAGAAGGTAGGAATAATGACATCCATGTAAATATTTTGTTTAAAATTTACATGCCAAAAGATTTTTCACAAATTTATATAACTTAAAAGCTTGGCACTCAAGAGTTTTCATTCCACACAAATATATTGCATAAAGTTAAAAAATATTATAAATGCTTAAGTTTTAACCCTTCAATTATTAAAACATGACAGGTGGCTCACTAAATATATACAGAATTGTAACAAAATTTCATGATTTTATTTTGATAGATCATACTTTCTGATTCGCTTTCTGGATTACATTAACAGTGCCATGGCTAAAATGGTTTTCTAGCTAATTTTAACATGGATATGTTTATAGTATGGTTTAACTACATAGTGTGGTAACCTAAAACAAGACATCAGTGAATTCACTTAGCTTGGACTTTGTTTTTAGATTCTAATTTCGTGTTCTCAGGAAAGAATTGAAAGACTTATCTTTTACATACTAGCAGGAGTTCAATAATAGGCAAATTTGCTGGCATTAACTGTAAACATTTGCTCTTTAAATTTTTTTTTTTTTTTAGAAAGCAGAGTGAAATGAGCCTGTTAGAATTATTTCAAATGAAAATTATATATGTTTTATTTTCCTGGCTTCCCTATTTACAAGGTATCTTTTACTAATTGACAGAAATTAGGGGTTTGCGAACAGTTACCTTCCTATCTGTCATAAGATCTGCAGTTTGTGTCTGCAATAGTAACTGATATGCTCACTGAGCATAACGCTCATATAACCACATCCTCCATAGCTGATTTGCCTAAAGGAATCAAATTTTAAATAATCTTCCATGTAATTCATGCTAGTCAATGCAGAAAAAATATTAAGTATTTCCTCTGTGTGAAGCATGTTTCTAGGATTCAGAGGAGAATAAATGTGGACCTGTTTTTAGTTGTATTTAAGCTGGCCCGGAGGCAAATGTTTAAACAACTAATTATAAAGACAAGGAAAAATGAATAATGATAATAAAGTCTCAGGTCCATAATCCCTAAGCTATAATTTAAAAAATTCAAAAAGCTCGATAAATCAGATTTTTTTGTTTGTAACTCATTTGAGAGCAAAACATTTACTTTAAAAGGCAACCAAAATCCTGTAACAGTTCTGCATATTTTTCAGCTTATACACAGTTTTAATGTGGCTACTTGTATCTTTAAAATTAAGAGCTGAACATGAACTAATTGAGCAGCAGACCCTGACCTGAAATGACATGAGGCTATTTTAAATCTTTATTCAGTGTGACTATTCATATGTGTTGCTGTCAAAACTTTATTTATTATTGTTTTTTAGTGGGAGCTGCCTCAGACTCTGTTGAAGGTGTTACGTAATATATAGTACTTAGAGTATATGACCTTTGCAAAATTAGAAAACTGGATTTTAAATCATATCTGGATCCAAGGGTTATAAGGGATGTGGACCTATACAATAATTTATTTAACCTGTAACATTCTAAGGGAATGTTGAGTTTTTTATTTTAATTTCAGTCTAGTTAACATACAGTTTTATATTTGTTTCCTCTTCTAATCTTCAAAAAATGCTGCTGAAAGTAACCCTGTACAAATGTCATTTAATATATGGGTAGGTATATTTGTAAGAAATAATATTAGAAATCAAATAGCCAAGGTCAAAGTATATGGGTGTTTCCTAGTTTGCTATCTTGACCTTTTTTTTTTTTTTTTTTCACAGAGAGTGGTATTAAAAGTAGCCACTTAGGCCAGTAGAACAGATGTATCTGTGTCATATGGGCTTTTTCATAGTATACGTACGTAGTTTTGAAATCAGGAAGTATGAACTGTCCAACTTTGTCCTTTTTCAGGATTGTTTTGACCATCCTGGATCCTTTGCATTTCCATTTGAATTATAGAATCAGCTTGTCAATTTTTTGCAGAAAGGGTCACCTAGGATTCTGATAGGGATTGCAACGGATTGTAGGTCATTTTGAGGAGTATTGTCATCACAACAGTATTGTCTTCCAATCCATTTATTTAGTTTTTTAATTTCTTTCGGCAGTGTTTTGTCATTTGCAGTATAAAATTCTTACACCTTCTTTTGTCAAGTGTACTGCTGAGCATTTTATTCTTTTTGCTGCTATTATAGATTATTTTCTAATTTCATTTTTGGACTGTTCATTGTTAGATTGTAGAAATACAATCTGGTTTTTTTGTTTGTTTGTTTCTTTTTTGTTTGGTTTATTGATCTTGTATCCTGCAGTCTCACTGAACCCTTTGTTAGTTCTAATAGGTTTTTTTTGGAGATTCCTTAGGATTTCATGTATACAAGAGCATGTGATTTGCAAACAGAGGCCATTTTACTTTTTCCTTTTCAATCTGGATGCCTTTTACTTATTTTTCTTATCTAATTGCCGTGGCAAGAACTTCCAGTACCATATTAAATAGAGATGGCAAAAGCAGACCTCTGTTTTCTTCCTTATTTTAGGAGCAAAAAACATTCAGTCATTTAACATTAATTATGAGGCTCGTTGTGAATTTTTGTAGATGCCCTTTATCAGATTGAGGAAATTCTCTTGTATTTTTAATTTCTTCAGCATTATTATCATGAAAGTATTTGATTTTTGTCAAATGCTTTATCTGCATCTATTGTGATAATCGTGTGGCTTTTGTCCTTTATTCTGTTAGTGTGGTGTATTACATTAACTGATTTTTGGATGTTGAGTAGGGCTTGCTAGTAATTCTCTGTGCTTTCTACACCTCTCATCACAGAACTGCTGTAATGCTGCTTTTGCTGCTCTCAAGTAGTTTTGCTACAACCATCCGTTTGATGGGGGCTTGAGGGGTTCCCTGTTGCTTAGTTTTGTTGGAGATGTCCATGACTGGTGGGCGTTTTTGTTTCTTTGGTTTTTTTGTTTTTCTGGTTAGTTTTTTTTCTTGTTTTTAGGGTTTTGTTTTTTTGTTTGTTTCGTTCTTTTTTTTTTTTCTTAGTCTTGCTTTTTCTGGTTGTCAGGGAGAGAGCAAGGAGATTCATAAACTATGATGCTGCATGGTTCTCTAAAAGAGAGTAGAACACAATGGCAATGGTAGAGTTGAGTTCTTACTCTTTTGTTCCTGTTTAAGATGTATGGAGATTTTGAAATTTAATATGTTGTTTGGGATGCAGGGAAGCATCGAAAATGCATTTGAGTAAGTGAAAATGAGCCCAAAAGTTTATGGAGGGAGACCACTGTTTCTGGCCAGTAGCCATGTAAGAGGCCTTTATTATCTTAAAGAGTGATGGAAATGTAATTCCCTATATCTCAAAATGAGGTCCAGTCACCAACAGCATTGGCATCACAGGGGAGCTTTACGGAAATGCAGAATCTTACATCACTCCAGACTTACAGATTCAGAATCTGCATTTTAACTGGATCTCAGGGGATTCCTGTGCATGTTAATGTTTGAGAAGTTCTGATGTATTTACCCTCAAAATTTGACTGGCCAGTATGACAATGTATGTGCCTTTTTAAGTGATTGATCACATTAACTGATGCTTTAAAAAAACGATAAATATAAAATCTTAAAGGTAATAAAAGGATGAAAGAATTTTAAAATGTAGTTCCATTATAATATTGATGAGATTGTTATATTTGTTTTCAGTATGCTAGCATATAGCAACTGTCTCTTCATTTACTGTGTATGAAGAAGATCATTCATCTCTAACTTTACTATTTTGATTGATAATTAACTTAAAAATAACATTCTCTGTCTTGTTTAGAAAGGATTTAAGATAGCTTTGTCATTTTTGTTGTAAACTGATACTTGAAGAAGTTTATTTATGTAATATATGTATACTTAAAGAAAAGAATAAGAAAAATTTTAAGTTTTATCCAAATTATTTTATTCTTTGTAAATGACAGTATAATTTGTAAATTACAGCCTTATTGTATGTTATAGCACTAGTGATTAAGTGATCATTTCATATTTTAGATCTTGGTAATGTTCTAACTTCTGCTCCAAATGCCAAAACTGTTAATGGTAAAGCTGAAAGCAGTGATAGTGGAGCTGAGTCTGAGGAAGAAGAGGCCCAAGAAGAAGTGAAAGGAGCAGAACAAAGTGATAATGGTAATCCTTGGATGATGAGCTAATAATTTAACATTAAAGTAAATAAAGTATGGGGGCACCTGGGTGGCTCAGTCGGTGGAGCATCTGCCTTCAGCTCAGGTCATGATCCCGAGGTCCGGGGATCGAGCCCCGCAAGGGCTCCCTGCTCTGCGGGGAGCCTGCTTCTCCCTCTCCCTCTGCCATCCCCCCCCCGCCCCGCCACTTGTGCTCTCTGGCTCTCTCTATCTCTCTGTCGAATAAATAAATAAAATCTTTAAAAGGAATAAAATAAAGTAAATAAAATATGGAGCGCTTTGGGCTGATTTGGTGTTGTA